ATGAATGAACCATTAGTAACTCTCTTATATAAAAATAAATAAAAATATGCACTCGCGAACACACACAATTATCATTACTTCTGACCCGTGTCTAATCATGAATATATTGAAGTGCTTGTATTATTGGCTAGGATACTGCTTTAAGCCATCCAATGACTTGTTCGGCTTGTGGACATTTTCACTTTGCCTTTGGCTACAAACCCTTTAAACTGAGTCATACAAATTGTTCCTCCAATTCTTCATACAAGGACAATGTTTTGACGTCAAGCTACTCTAAATTAAATAATGCGACAATGGCCAATAACTCTTTAATAGAGGTATAATTCAACAATCAAAGGGAAAATTTCATTATAATCAACTCCTTCCCTCTACGCAAAGACTTTTGCAACCAACCGTACCTAAACTTCTATCAGCACTAGACTCAGGATTGTTCCTTCGAACCTCTTTGCTTCCAATGACTCACTTTCCCTTGGGCAACTTTACAATATTCCAAGTATGACTCTTATAAAGAGACCCCATCTCCTCATTCATGGCATTGCTCCATCTGCTACTGTTAACATTTTTAGATTTCTCAAAATTGGATGGTTGTTGGCTTGTGGCAACGAAGGCATAAGTTCTAAAACCCGCCAATTAGATGTTTGGCAATATAAAGAGCAGGAAAGTAACAACCATAGGCAAACAACAAATAGAAGCATGAAAATACTGCAAGAAAGAATATTAATTACGGGAATTGTCCACCCTAGGTAGCAATTCCTGTTTGGAATCACGATTCTATGTTTCTATGAAGAAATGTTCACAAATCCCGATTCTTAGAAGTTAAGAATCACGATTCAAAATTCTTTTGAACCTCATTCCGATGTCTTTTGAATCTAAGATTCCACCTCAACAAATTTTGTGATTCATAGGTGCACATGAACGTGATTCAACCAATGTGAGACATTGCTTCCAATTTTTAGTTAAGGGTCCTCGACCTTTTTTCCAATACTTGTGGAAAGCTGTAATAAAGGACGCTCAATACATCGACTCCAATGTTAGGGGAGGGCTGTCATCGATTCCAACAACTGGAGAAGGGGTAAGGGTACTCTATCTATGGAGTCCAAAACTAAGGAATTTTTGCTTGTACATAATCTAAAATCTTCAATCTTTTGCCCTTTAGAACCCTTTTCTTGATAATTTTTTGGCCTGGTTCCAAGTCGTTTGGTGTGCGATTTCCGTAACTTAGGAATCTGGATCCCAAGTTGATGGGACTCCAATGTTAGGGGAGGGCTGTCATCACTCCAATGTTAGGGGAGGGCTGTCATCACTCCAATGTTAGGGGAGGGCTGTCATCGATTCCAACAACTGGAGAATGGGTAAGCGTACTCTATATGTAGTGTCCAATACTAAGGAATTTTTGCTTATAGATACTCTAAAATCTTCAATCTTTTGCCCTTTAGAAGTCTTTTCTTGATAATTTTTTGGCCTGGTTCCAAGTGGTTGGGTGCACGATTCCCGTAAGTTAGGAATCTGAATACCAAGTTGATGGGACTGCGATTCTTACAAGGTAGGAATTTTGATTCCTATCAGATCATAGCGCACTTCCCAAAACAACAAAGGTCCTCTTCCTATTAAAGAGGATATGTCCAAAACCCATAATAGTAAGCTTGTTTGTAGGAAGACATTGTTTCGCCAAAAAATATCTATCCCACATGAAAAGTAAACCAAATTGATCGCGCATTTTGCTTTCTTGGATTCAATGCAACTTCCAACATACATGAAATCTCCTGTTCATTTTCATTGGCTGTCGCATTGGTGAACCTCAAGAAATTGTATACGCTTCCAAAAAGAAGAAACAATTGCTAGGGTAACTCATTTACTGATACGAAAAACAGCAGCTGTACCTCATTTTTTGGGCAAACATTGTATTGAGATATGCATATGGTATCAAAATGATTAATAGTCTTTTTCTTTTTCTTTAGTAAAATGATTATTAGTCTTCTAATGGTTTGGAAGCTGAATCCAAACAGAAACTCATAGGCATATTTGGAGGTCCTTTCTTGGTTTTTCTAAGTCTAATTTTGGCAAACTGTCTCCTTGGGCAGTGGGATTGATGATTCTGGGATAAGGAGCTTAAAAAAGGTTGCATGTGCTATGATCCCATGAAGCAAAAACTTGGTGTAATAAGTGGATTGTTTCTGGAGGAATCATTTCTTACTTTTAGAGTTTCAGAGAATATCACTAAAAAGTACAGTTTATAATCGAATTGTTTCAACTGATATTTTTTAGTTATGTAAAATGATAATGACGAATGTCGTTCTTGATAATTATTTAGTTATGGAATTTTCGATACCTTTCAGAGTTTCGATTTTTCAGATATTATCAAGATCATCTTGGATGTTCCTTATAAAAGAAACTTTGCAAAAGATGGAAGAAGGTCTAATGAGTGGAACAAGAGACACAGCCATGGTTGTAATGAGGATAAAATGAAATCTTTTGGTGATGCAAGTGTTTATGAAGTCTCATTGCTGTTGGTGCTTGGCTTTGTGATGTCTCCATAGAAAATGGCCTTTATTATAGGAAGGAACAGATGATGCCTTGATGGTGCATGAATGCTTGGAGGGAGATAGGAGCTGGATTGTGATGTACTTCCACCTCATGGTTCTCAATTTTAATTAGGCGCTCTGCTTATGTTCTTTTATGGTACTCTTGATTACTTAGACTTGGTGATTTCTACCCCTTTTTGTTCACTGTTGTTTGGGAAGTTCTTACCCGACTTTTGGAGAGAGGAGATCCTTGGGATTGATAGGTGATTTTGCAGCTCATTGTGGCCACATCAGTTTCGCAATCTCCAATTTGCAAATGGCACCCTCTTTTTTCTTGGTGTTGAGTTGGAACAAATGAATAATTTCTAGTTTATCTTTGTAACCTGCAAAGCATTATTCAGTGTTGAGTGAGAAAAAGTTCAATTGGGAGAGAAGTTGGAGGCAATGGTTGATAATCTGGTTTGCAAATCTGCAACTCTTCCCTGAAAATATCTTGCGGTTCATTAATTTTAGGGCAAGCAGATGAATATTATGGGATCTAGTTCTTGAGAGTTTGAAATACACCAATATTATGCAAACCTGGTTATCTCTCAATGTGTTGTACAGTGACATACAATGAGGCTGCTTTTATAAGATCTCTGTCTCTATGTGGGGCCAATGTTTGACAAACCAATGGTGGTTGATCTAGGACCAAGAGAGATTAGGGGTTTCAATAGAGCATTATTAAGGAAATGGTTGGGGAGTGAGAAAATTAGTAGTTTGTGGAAAGATGTTTTAGAGGGTAAATGAGGACTGAGCGAAGGCGGTTGGGCAATTGCTCCCAGTACCTTGAGGTGTTTAGTGCAAACTTGAAGGAATGTGAGTTTATTTGATTCAGAGCTTTTAGGTTGCCTCGAAGAGGTCATTGTACCTGAAAAATGGTGTAAATGAGAGAATATGGAGGTGGGGTGGTACCATATGTTTTTCCACGAGATCTTTTTATTGGGGCTTTGTGCGGACTCTGGTGAGTCCTTCCCATATACTATTGATTTGATGCATCGCAGTCCCTCCATTTGTTCAGGCCTTTGGACGGCTTATTTGCTAAATAAGGTGTTTACTGTGGATCACTTCCAGATTAGAGGGGTCCAGATTTCTAATCATGTGCCAAAAGTTTTCAGATCCTATGATGTACCTTTTCCTCTGCAGTCCAATTGCCATGACTCTTTCCGAAATATGTTAGACTCTTCTATTCGAGCTAGTCACGCCTCAGTCCACAATGAGCCTTATGCCAGGGCAGGGATCGTTATCTATGTCATCCAGAGGGAGAAAGCTCTGAAGAATGGCGTCACTTGCAGTCTTTTAGGGCTTGTGGAGGGAGTGCAATAGTTGAGTCCATAGGAGATCGTACAGCAGAGCTCTTGTAATTGTGAGAACATATGAAATTTCATTTTTTTTTCCTCAGTCCTCATACAACCTGAGTTTGGTAGATATTCGGTTCATTGCTGATGAGGATATATTCAAACTTGATGGGAGCTGTAAGGGTAGTTTGGTTCGTGTGTTGTGTGTGGTATCATTTGGATAGAAAAGTCAAGGTTATCCCATCATATTTGGGCCTCCCTGGGTTTGTGCAATATCAGTGTGTCAGAAGCAAACACCCTATTGATTGGGCTCTAGAAGATCTCATTGAACACCTTCCTCCCAATGTTGATAGAAGGGAATTTCTTCATGTCATTGGATGGGTTCAATAGGGGATGCCTATTTGCTGGTGTATGCCACAATCCTAATCGCTCTTTCATTCCTTGAGTAAAGTGAATTTTGAAGCTGGTTCATTGGATATGATGGGTTTCTTTGTCATCACCAAACCTGTCTTAACCTGAAGATGTTCTTTCAACATCTCTTGATTTTGAATTTTATTGTATGTTGATGTATTGTAGTAATAGAAAAATGAGATGTTATAACGATAAAGTGGACTGTCAGAGCAGTTATTTAGTGCCCAGCTTGTGAGAGAGCATAATGTTGCATTTCTTCTTTGAATCTTGTGGGAGATATGCATAAAACCAGCCTTGGGACATTTATTCAAATAACTATCACTTCGTGCTGCTTATGGCCTTATGCAGACTAAACCTGGCTACTAAAGCTTGGCTTGAGAAATTCCAAAAGATGATCATTATAAAACGTTCCAGGTTGAAATCTGACATCCAGTGAAATAAGCAAGAATTCAATGTGAAATTGGAGTTAGTTTTGCCACTTCCAAATTTAGACTTTGAAAGTGGCAAATTTCTTATAGAAATTAATGTGAAAAAATTGAAGATGTCGAATTTTGACAATAAAAGGCCATAGAAGCAATTTTTTTCCTCTCACAAAAATTATATGGAACTCTTAATAGTGTTTCAGCCTATTAGTTAAGAATGCATTTTGGATTTGAAGCTGAATTTGCTTTTCACCATCTCAGTGCTATCATGTGACACCATTAACATTGTTTTTGACTGCATGGGGCAGTGACAGTGGGAGCAAAAGGAGGATCCAAAGACTGACAGACTTGGAAGACACTGATAAGGCCATCTTCAATCCCGTTCAGGACAGGAATTCGAGCTGCAAGCTTTGCTCTCTGAAGCTTGTTCTTGTTCTTATCATATGCGGCACTTTCTTAACACTCCTCCATTCTCCAACATTTCATCATGGAGAGCAACCCTTAAAGTCTGGTTCTCAGTATATTTTTATATTCATATTTTTATTGTAATGCCGAGTATTTTCATATTTGAGAGAGAGAGAGAGAGAGAGAGAGAGAGAGAGAGAGAGAGGAGGAGCTACTTACTACTACTCCTCCTCTACTACTACTTACTATCTAGTAGAGACACTAACTAATTACGTCGTTCGTTACGTACGTTATTACTTACTTACTTTACGTT